GCACCTGCCATGAGCAGCAGCGCACTTGCCATGAGCAGCTGTGCACCTGCCATGAGCAGCAGTGCACCTGCCATGAGCAGCAGCGCACTTGCCATGAGCAGCTGTGCACCTGCCATGAGCAGCTGTGCACCTGCCATGAGCAGCAGCGCACTTGCCATGAGCAGCTGTGCACCTGCCATGAGCAGCAGTGCACCTGCCATGAGCAGCAGCGCACTTGCCATGAGCAGCTGTGCACCTGCCATGAGCAGCAGTGCACCTGCCATGAGCAGCAGCGCACTTGCCATGAGCAGCTGTGCACCTGCCATGAGCAGCTGTGCACCTGCCATGAGCAGCAGCGCACTTGCCATGAGCAGCTGTGCACCTGCCATGAGCAGCAGCGCACTTGCCATGAGCAGCAGCGCACTTGCCATGAGCAGCAGCGCACTTGCCATGCTATCCGAGACCTTTGATGGTTAGTGTGTGACTGCTAAAGCAAAACAGCAGTCAAAAGATGAATATACAGCAGTATGAGCTGCAATACAGCAGTCAAGAGTTGGACTGTACTGCAGAATAATATACAGCAGTATGAATATACAGCAGTATGAGCTGCAATACAGCGGTCAAGAGATGGACAGCCATCAAGAGTTGGACAGCAATAATTAGGCCAGCAGATGGACGCACCCGTACGGCAGGTAGAGCGCTCCGAGTAGAAGAAGTCTCTGTCCACCAGCAGGGCGTTTGGGCCGCCAACGGTGGTCGTGTGGTCGGCACTGAGCGAACACTCGCGTCTGAAGGACTGATGGACATAATTAGGATTAAAATAAATTATCGTCTTAAGAACTGATGGACATAATAAAGATTAAAAATGAATTCTCGTCTGAAGAACTGAGTTAGCACTGCACCTGGTAGTTGTAGCTGTGGCAGTGCAAGTCTCATGAGCTAGACCAGCACCTGGTAGTTGTAGCTGTGGCAGTGCAAGTCTCATGAGCTAGACCAGCACCTGGTAGTTGTGGCTGTGGCAGGACAAGTCTCGTGAGCTAGACCAGCACCTGGTAGTTGTAGCTGTGGCAGGACAAGTCTCAAGAGCTAGACCAGCACCTGGTAGTTGTAGCTGTGGCAGGACAAGTCTCAAGAGCTAGACCAGCACCTGGTAGTTGTAGCTGTGGCAGGAGAAGTCTCATGAGCTAGACAAGCACCTGGTAGTTGTAGCTGTGGCAGGAGAAGTCTCATGAGCTAGACCAGCACCTGGTAGTTGTAGCTGTGGCAGGACAAGTCTCATGAGCTAGACCAGCACCTATGAGCTAGACCAGTACCTGGTAGTTGTAGCTGTGGCAGGACAAGTCTCAAGAGCTAGAACAGCACCTGGTAGTTGTAGCTGTGGCAGGACAAGTCTCAAGAGCTAGACCAGCACCTGGTAGTTGTAGCTGTGGCAGGAGAAGTCTCAAGAGCTAGACCAGCACCTGGTAGTTGTAGCTGTGGCAGGAGAAGTCTCGCTCTCCGTCGCAATATCGCTGGCACTCGTCCCGGTCGAAGACGTTGGTAAAGAAGCGGTCGAAGTATGGCAAGAAGCGGCCCTCTAGATCGCTGTACTCGCAGTTGGGAGGATCTGCAGTAATTAAATCACGGCATAAGAGACGAGAATGAACATGGATTAAAACTTTACCCTCTGCCTGATCACAAAAAGCCGCGGGTAGCTCATCAAACACTGGAAGCTTTTCAAGCACAGAAAGATGATAGGAGCTCTTGAAAAATTGATTAATAGGACTAAAAACTATACAAATTGTAAATGAATTGTGCTGCAAAATATTTGGCTTTGTAGGTGCAGTGCAACAGCAATTGACAAGTCATAGCGCGAAAGTTTCCAGAGATTTTTTCGTGACGTTTATGAATGGGACTAAATGGTCGTTAAAAGATCCAAGCGGCAAAACTTGCAATCCTGTACCTCTCTACAACTACGCGTGATGGCTGCTTAGGTCTCTTAGCAAGTCTAAGTTGACAATTCATAAGCCTTAGGCGATACCTCCCCAATGAAGATATACAAGCGTCGTACATCATGCAATACCGTCACCATGGAAGTGTCCAAGCGTCGTATATTAGGCAATATGTCACCATGGAAGTGTACAAGCGTCGTACATTAGGCGATACCGTCACCATGGAAGTGTACAAGCGTCGTACATCATGCAATACCGTCATCATTGAAGTGAACAAGCGTCGCACATCATGCAATACGTCACCAGGGAAGTGTACAAGCGTCGTACATCATGCAATACGTCCCCGTGGAAGTGTACAAGCGTCGTACATTAGGCAATACCGTCACCATGGAAGTGTACAAGCGTCGTACATCATGCAATACGTCCCCGTGGAAGTGTACAAGCGTCGTACATCATGCAATACGTCACCAGGGAAGTGTACAAGCGTCGTACATCATGCAACACGTCACTATGGAAGTGTACAAGCGTCGTACATCATGCAACACGTCACTATGGAAGTGTACAAGCGTCGTACATCATGCAATACGTCACCAGGGAAGTGTACAAGCGTCGTACATCATGCAATACGTCACCAGGGNGACACATCGCCTGCTACTAACCTGAAGGGCAGGTCAACAGCCTGCAGACACATCGCCTGCTACTAACCTGAAGGGCAGGTCAACAGCCTGCAGACACATCGCCTGCTACTAACCTGAAGGGCAGGTCAACAGCCTGCAGACACAGCGCCTACTACTAACCTGCAGGGCAGGTCAACAGCCTGCAGACACAGCGCCTGGCAGAGCGTTCTCGTAGGCACGCTAGGCACCAGACGGCCCGGGAGCTCCAAGTCGTAGCCAGGCACGCGAACGTAGGTCCATGCTTTGCCGCACGTGCGCTCTGCGTGGGCACGAGGCACGTTACTAAATAAATTAGCAGCACAAGAAGAGATACGGTGAAGTTACGCAATAAATTAGTAGCACAAGAAGAGATACGATGAAGTTACGCAATAAATTAGCAGCACAAGAAGAGATACGATGAAGTTACGCAATAAATTAGCAGCACAAGAAGAGATATGAAGAAGTTACGCAATAAATTAGCAGCACAAGAAGAGATACGAAGAAGTTACGCAATAAATTAGCTGCGCAAGAAGAAATAAGATGAAGTTACGCAATAAATTAGCAGCAAAAGAAGAGATACGATGAAGTTACGTAATTAATTAGCAGCACAAGAAGAGATACGGTGAAGTTACGCAATAAATTAGCAGCACAAGAAGAGATACGATGATGAACTGGATACGAGGTATGTTAGTGGACGTAGGCATGCCGAGCACTCGTAAAATAGACATAATTTAATGATGTGTACACAAATGAAAGTGAATACAGTAAACCAAAAAATTTAGCTAATAAAAACAATTGGCGGTAGCAGAAGTACCTTCATATTTTAAAGTAATCAAATATTAGTCTGGCCCACATAAGTCATTCTGGGCAGCTGCAATTCGTACATTTTAATTATAAATGAAAATCTGGTAGAGCATTCGCTCCACCAGATTTTGTTTCTGCGAGAATCTAAATTTTCTCGTAGTAGGAGACCCTGCAACACTCACCAGGTATGCAGACCTTCTCGTAGTAGGAGACCTGCAACACTCACCAGGTATGCAGACCTTCTCGTAGTAGGAGACCCTGCAACACTCACCAGGTATGCAGACCTTCTCGTAGTAGGAGACCTCTGGTGCGGGCGACAGCGCGGTCCCGGTGGCGGCGGCCGAGCGGTCGAGGGCGAAGCAGCGCTGAGCGGAGGACCGGGATGTCTCGATGGACATGGCAGCGCAGGCGCCGCTGCGGCGGTCACACTCGCGCAGACAGTCGATGGTCACGCCCAACTGGTCAGGCGCCTCCACTTCTTCTCTGCTCAGTCAGGACGGCCGTGCAATAATAAATGTTGGCTATCAAACCGATCTGAGGTGAGAGCTAACTAGCGCGGGATGGTTGTTCATGGTATGGCAGCTGATCAAATTAACAGTCAAGATGATGTCAAAATGGGGTTGCACTATCTGATAACCTTACTTATCTTTAGCTGACAGTTAGATACGAGTAGGCAGCTGAACATGAGGACTTTAAAATTTGTTTAGTTATTTGGTAACGCCTATTGCACGTTCATCATCTAGCGATTCTCAACTTGAAAAAGAGGTGCAGAACTTAAGATAATTGTGAAAATAAACCAAATCGTAGCTATTATCAACATGGAATATATAGGGCCTTTTTAGCGCATTTTCTCATTTGTTGAAAAATGCGTTATTGTGCTAGTCATGTCCGTCCGTCCGTGACTTCACGGACGGACGGACATGAGAAAATGCGCTCTCTGTCACTCACTGCAGCGAGTACTGATCTAATAATTTAAAGCGAGTACTGATCTAATTCTTATATCGACGTGAGAACAAATCTCGTCAGTGAATTTACTTTCCTTATTTTTAAACGAAATACTACTATCATTATGATTTAGTACTTGATATTCATCCATGGACCAACTTTCAAATGAATGACTAATAATAAATCATAACATTTTAGTCACTGAGTTTCAACCATGCCAATATAGGGTGACCCAAAGGACCCTAACCTCCTGGCGCCTCGGAAGTCGACTCCCATGATCTTGTCGTAGGTCAGCGAGAAGCGGCAGTCAAGCAGCGAGCCTGAGACAATATAATTTGTTTTGTAGCTTTTTAACAACATATGATCAATTCTGGTAGGAATAGCATTGAGAGAAATTATTCACGTGATCCTTGCTTGGCAAAGACAACCTTTAAATTATACAGGTCATCCCGACTTTGGTACGAATGAGGAAAAAACAAATTTATCTTGCAGTCATCTTGATTGACACCATGAAGGAAAAATGATCACTGATAGCATAAACTTAGTCAATCAGAACACGATTCAATGAAGGCAGAAAATGGATATCTGCCTGAAGAACCGACTGTTCAGAACTTTTTTTTCCTAATAATCACCATCATTTGATTACAAATAAATTGGAATTATTCAAACGTCAGCAAAGTAGCACTACCATTGAGGTGAATATAGTAAATAGCATAACCATTGAGGTGAGTAGAGTTCCCCAACCACAAATTCAAAATCTCCAACACTATCCGGCATAGTGCCGAACTAAAAATTCTGTTCCAATACTTTCATAAGCAGCTCACTCACCAACTCCACCGAAACTTCCTCCTGTTCCTCCAAATGCCCCAGCTGCTCCACCAATGCCACCTCCGGATCCTCCAAAACTTCCTCCTGTTCCTGAAGATCCACCAAAACTGCCACCAGATCCTCCAAAACTTCCGCCAGATCCTCCAAAACTGCCGCCAGATCCTCCAAAACTTCCTCCGGTCCCTGTAAAGCCACTACTACCTGATCCTCCAGATCCTCCAATGGTGCCACCGGAGCCACCGATGCCACCACCGGATCCACCAAAACTACCACCAGAACCACCAGATCCAGTGAAGGTTCCTCCACCTGTGAACCAAGCAATGAATGAGTCAACATCAGATCGACCTAAATCGGTGATTGTCAACCAAATAATTGAAAGATTGTTCAAAAAAACGGTGTAAAACGATTGATAAACCATATGATTACTGTTCTCAACGTAGTTTGGATTTTAAAAGGGAAATAACGACTGAACCCGTGTTAGATGTTCACTCTATTTAGCCCCGATTGCATCAGGTGTTTTTTCTTGACCTGAGCCATCTTGCCTGCCATGCTGGTGGTTGAAATGTTTCGATTGACGAGCGTCCGGCTTTATAAGTTTATTTAATTTCTTTTGTTAATAACAATAAATTAGTTTCCGTCAGTGTATACAGCTTCTTTTTATATACTACAAGAGAGTCATACTTGCGTACTACATCCTACTACAAGAGAGCCATCTGGAACGTAGCGAACTTAGTACGGCATGTGGGAGAGAGCTCTACTAGTGTCTGGAAGGTAGAGAGCTCTGTATGGCAGATGGTAGAGAGCTCTACTAGTGTATGGAAGGTAGAGAGCTTAGTATGGCAGGTGGTAGAGAGCTCTACTGGTGTCTGGAAGGTAGAGAGCTTAGTGCGGCAGGAGGTAGAGAGCTTAGTGCCGCAGGTGGTAGAAAGCTCTACTAGTGTCTGGAAGGTAGAGAGCTTAGTGCGGCAGGTGGTAGAGAGCTCTACTAGTGTTCGGAAGTTGCCAGGTTTGCGCACGTAAGCTAGTCAACTGTTTTCTCCGAATCACTGAGCCGTCCGATTGCGATCAGATAAATAATCATATAATGACTGAAATGGAATTGGTTAAGATTGTACAGGTTCTTCGCTAAAAGTCAACACTATCCTACTCCTGCCAAAAAATCACGTGCTTTTCAACTACAGACAACATGTTCCTCACAGACTGCACGCGAGCTCTCATTCAGGAGTTAGAGGAACACAATAAAAATTTACACATAAATGAATTAAGCCAAAAGCACGCAAATGAGTGAATAGATCACCACCTTATAACTTGAATCATAATTTAAACATAAAGTAGAGCAGAGCACAAAAAATCTAATGAAACACTTAAACAATCGACATCAACAATTAACAGTAAAATGTGTAGTTTCAGCTATTTATGAAGCAATAATATGAATCAAATTTGTAATGCTTGTAGTAAGGTGGCTCTGACTAAAGAAAAAACAGTTATTTGAATTTATGAAGAAAACTGCGAGTGAAACATGTAGCCAACAAGTTTAGAGCTCAATAGCTAACCCTGTATGAAGAGATTAAAGAGGAGCATGGTGAGTAGAGAGTAAAGAGAAAACAAAGTGGGTACGGTCCCAGCTGGTGGGTACAGTACCAGCTGGTGAGCACAGTACCAGCTGGTGGGTACAGTACCAGCAGGTGGGTACAGTACCAGCAGGTGGGTACAGTACCAGCTGGTGAGNCATCTGACTGAGGAAGCCCACTCACCTGACTGAGGAGGTCCACACACCTGACTGAGGAAGCCCACACACCTGACTAAGGAAGCCCACACACCTGACTGAGGAAGTCCACTCACCTGACTGAGGAAGGAGTAAGCCCTGCAGTTGAAGGAGGTCTCGAGATCACACGCCCTCTGGCAGGCGAGGTCGCTGAAGACGTTCGTGGCCTTGGTGACGTAGATGAGGAAGCGGTCGCGCTGGTTGTTGATGTAGGAACATCCCGTAGCTCCTGCGGGGTCATAGGCCTTGAGAACAACAGGTGCATAATTCATAGTTCATTCTTCTCATACCTATATCTGTTTGCAATGAAGTATTCAGTTATTTGTTTCGTGGGAATGATAGAATGGGGGATTTAAAGTAGGTTTTGATACAAAAATCTATTATAATGCTGTAACTGTGATTATGACTGCGAATTTTAAAAATCCCGAAAGGAGATGTAAAATCATGCATTCGTGTTTTGCAGTTCTCTTAAGCTTATAGTAGCAGGGTAATTGTATCGTCACTACACAATGACGGCTCACGTCTAGTGCACTGGTTCTCCATGTAGTCGCTGGTGAGGGAGGCGACGAAGGCGGTGGGCTTGGAGTATCGGTCGTGTTCGGACATGCGACAGGTTTTGGTGTCGTAATCGTAGGACACCGAGCGACACTCAAAGCGACGCTCGCTCAGACAACGGTCCATGCAGTCATCCTTGCTGGCATGGGTAAAATTACGCCCATTATAGACAAAAATTGGGCATCAAGGGTAATACGTAGGTATTGAAGACAAAAATTTGGCATAAAGGGTAAGTCGAATGATACAATGTAAAAATACAAAATCTACCGAGGACAAAGTTTCTATTAGATGAGCCTTTCAAGCTCATTGTTCAATAGATATACCTACTTTTAATGGACCATTACTGAGTCTTACCTACGAACAAATAATTTACCACCCCGAAACGAGACCCATAGGACAATGAATGAACATAATTTCCTTTCTATGAACATAATTCCCTTGCGAAGTTGCGAGCTGTTCACTTATGATGCTGCATCCCACCTGATCCTGTCGAGGGTGTGCACCTCTTGGCCGCGCAGCTCAAAGTTCGGCACGCGCTCGAAGGTCCACATGAGACCGCAACCACCGTCTGCATGAGCACACAGACATCACCTCGAATTGTGTATTACTGTATCATAAACATCAAATTATTCTTATTAATTAATACAAAAGAAGCAGTATGCTGCAATGAAATAAATGAGCTGGACAACTTTTCAATTATAAACTGACTGCTAAAGACAAATTTATATAGCCCACAAGCTACTGAATTTATTTATTTGTCCCAATACTCACTGAAAAAAATAGGAAATTCGTCATAAAAAGGTGTAGAAAATTAATGTTGGAAAACACGTTTTTCTTCGCAGAAAAAATGTGATTATTTTTGATATGGCATTAATGTTTCAGTCGCATATCAATGAAGATGAAGTCACAGCCGCTCTCGGCTCCCAGCAACGAAACCAGAGCAAAGCAGCACAACAATTAAAACACTTCCAGCAAGTGCTGGCCTACAGGAAGTACAGACCATCGCAGCCATCAGCTGCAGCATGAGGCTGAGCAAAACAATGCTTAGAAAGTCAAGGCCAACTCACTGCTGAAGCAACTCACCGCTGAGACAAACTCACTGCTGAGGCCAACTCACTGCTGAGGCCAACTCACTGCTGAGGCCAACTCACCGCTGAGGCAAACCCACTGCTGAGGCCAACTCACTGCTGAGACAGAGGCCCTCGTAGTGATCAGCCCCCGCGTAGGGCACGAGGTCGTCGGGTTGGGAGGACGCGGCGGTAGCGAGGCCGTTGCACTCGTAGCGGTTGTGGTCCAAGTTGACGGCCACGCACTCCAGCTCGTTGCTGCACCGCCGCAAACACTCCGACGTGATGCCTGACGCCAAAATGTCAACACTGAATGCTTACAAAATTATGGGTTAAATGCATAGATAAATTCTTCTATGTTCTCGACCATTGTGAATTAGGCCATGGGCCTATATCTTCAACGCCGACACTTCTATTCTATTCTAAATGATTAATAAGCATTCAGACTACCGGGGCAGTGAACTACTTACGTGTCCATCAAGCGGTCCATAATGTTTGTATCAGAGACAAGAGGGTTGAGCCCTTACCTGGGCTGCAGGAGGAGTAGAGTAGGAAGGTACCTTAACAGGGCTGCGGGAGTAGAGTAGGAAGGTTGAGCACTTACCTGGGCTGCGGGAGGAGTAGAGTAGGAAGGTTGAGCCCTTACCTGGGCTGCGGGAGGAATAGAGTAGGAAGGTTGAGCTCTTACCTGGGCTGCGGGAGGAGTAGAGTAGGAAGGATCGCACTTGGTCCAGTTGGTAGCCCGTCACCTTAACGTAGGTGAGGCGGCCGAGGCGACATCGGTTCGCTGAGAAAGAAAAGCCTCCTGTGTTGTTGACTTGCCCAGGAGCGTGAAGAATGAAGTGTGCGTGTGGCATGAGTGGCAGAACAGAGTGAGAGGAGCAGGTGGAATGACGAGTGTTGTGGGGTCCGAGAGGCTTGAAGGATATGGAGTGTGCGTTTGGTATGAGTGGCAGAACAGAGTGAGAGGAGCAGGTAGCATGACGAGTGTTGTGGGGTCCGAGAGGCTTGAAGAATGGAGTGCGCGTTTATGCCACGAGCAAATCAAACTGAATGTTTGGTATGAGTGGCGTGGGAAATTTGGAAATTTTCGGGTGGGAAAATTCGAGAAAGAGATGAAGAATGTGTCGCGGGAGTGGTTTTGCGAAATTCAGAGAAGGTTTTCAAGGATTGTGAAGTGACGAATTATTTCGAAATGATGAGCCTCAATCAATTGAAATGGATGAAGAATACTTCTTGATCAGCGAAGGAACGACAAATAAGAGGGAAATATGTAAGTAGAAGGTGAGAGCGTATTTTTTTGCAATATAACACAGCAAGTTTTTCTTCAAACAAATACAAGTGGATCAACAAATTTCATCATTTGAGCACTAGGAAAAACGTAACGTACGATAACATCAAACAATGAGATGTATGAATTCAATTTATATTCCACGCTTAATGGAAATACAAGCACATTTGTTTCAGCGAGAAAGATGCACGCAAGGAACATTCGGATGCACAGTGTCAACCATTGGTGCAGAGGTGAATGGTTATTAATAATGTGGATGAGAACAACAAGATCAGGAGCCAATTAGAGAACGCCGAACAGAACACGTCCCAAACAAAATTTTTGGTAAACAACCACCCAAGAGTAATGGATTTGTAAAATTGCATCCAAGAAATTAAATTTGAAGTAGAAAAATAATTAAACCAACAAGAGAAATGTTCCCAAAAATAAACGGATGATGACGGACAATATTAATGGGAAACGAAGAAGCATGGATGCGCATTACGCGGAGAAGAATGCAAATTGTGCCCGATGTTTTAGAAGAAATACCGGGATTAGAAGATGATAACAGATCATGCAATGCAAGACATTGTACGTTATCGGTAGATGATTGCAGATCGAGGAATTATGATTGACGTGATTGGTGATGAACGTCATGAGTGTCGTCGCAGAGACGCCCAGGAACCGATGGAAGGAAGAAGGAATAAAAATTATGTTAGAATACAAAGAAATTCTACAAGCCAGGTGGTATATATATATGGGTTTACGGGTACGGCACTACGTCTGTTTATTGGACTCACATGCAGTTAATTGATTTTGGGTTAGCACTGCGTAGCCAAATATATTGATTATCAAACACGAGTGTAAAACGGAACACTTTCGTCAGCCCAAGTTAAATAAATGCATTGCAGTTCTGCATATAAGCTATATAACATTTTATTATAAAGCTAACGCTTAAATAAAGTAAAAGGACCCATAGCTTGCTATTACATTATTCTCATTATTACCACACCAAGATCGTCAAACTATTCAGTGATGAGAATTTCAGCAAAAACGAAAGCATGCACAATTCCTTTAGAGTACAGAGCCGAGTTGTCACGATCTGTGATCTCAATATCTGTTATTTTTCATTAAGTTAAGATGATCCCGAACATATAAATAAAGAAGAGAAACTAGTAACAATTTCAATTTACTAATTTTCTCTGACCGTTCCTCCTCACTCAATCACAAGACCGGAACAAGCAATGCTTGATCACCGCATCAGACGTCAGAGCAAAAGAAATCTGTCACAACTAGATTAGTTACGAGAACTGCGGAAAGGGCAAATTGAGATACGAGGTATTAAACAACAAATTAAACAGAACCAAACTAATAACAAACACAATTTTGATGAAGTGAGCATATTCATTCTGGCCCTGAGGTTGAGTGAAGCAGGTTGTCAGGAAATGCAGCCTGAACTACGAACTTCAGATCGTGACAACGCGTTTCTTTTTAAGCTAGTATTTAGTGTAGGTCAACTCCACCATTGCACCCACCTGGCGGTCCCAAGGAGTTAGTTCCACTTCCATAGCCACCAATACCCACACCATAACTGCCCCCAATTCCACCACCTGATCCACCACCTGATCCTGATGGCGGTCCAACAGCACCCCCAGGCCAGCCGCCTGGCCAAATGTCAGGTCCACCTACAGGTCTTCCACCTCCAGGCCTTCCACCTCCAGGTCTTCCACCTCCAGGTCTTCCACCTCCAGGTCTTCCACCTCCAGGAATTCCACCTCCAGGTCTTCCTCCACCTGGCGTACCACCTCCAGGTGTTCCTCCACCAGGCGTACCACCTCCAGGTGTTCCTCCACCAGGCGTACCACCTCCAGGTATTCCTCCACCAGGCGTACCACCTCCAGGTATTCCTCCACCAGGCGTACCACCACCAGATGTTCCTCCACCAGGTGTTCCACCATTAGTCGTACCACCACCAGGCGTACCACCTCCAGGAGTTCCACCACCAGAGGTGCCTCCTCCTGGAGTTCCACCACCTGGTGTACCACCACCTGGAATGCCCCCTCCAGGAACGCCACCTCCAGAGTCGCAGCTGCGCTCGAAGTAGTTCGTCCCAGGTCGGTTCTCGATCGCGTTACTGATGCCTGCAGACGCTGTGGTCGGGAGTGTGAGAAGCGTAAGTGTACAACAAAGAAACGGTGTGCATCCCAAACCAATCATCAGTGAACCCACGTACTACTGTACTAGTCACAATCCAATCAGCATCAGACTAACGAAATAGTCATGAACCAATCGAGGCGGTAAACTAACGACCAGACCCGAACAAACCGGGCAGCAAACTAACAGCATTGACACGAACAAACCGGGAAACAAACTAACCGAATTGACACAAACCAATCTGGCAGCAAATTAACGACATTGCCCCGAACCAATCGGACAGCGAACTAACGACATCGTCACGAATCAATCGGACAACAAACTAACGGCATTGACACGAACCAATCGGACAGCAAACTAACGACATTGTCACTAATCAATCGGACAGCAAACTAACGACATTATCACGAATCAATCGGGTAGCGAATTAACGACATTGACAAGAAGCAATCAGACAGCAAACTAACGACATTATCACGAATCAATCGGATAGCAAACTAACGACATTGTCAGTAATCAATCGGGCAGCAAACTAACGACAATGACAAGAAGCAATCAGAAAGCAAACTAACGACATTGTCTCTAATCAATCGGGCAGCAAACTAACGAAATCGACACGAATCAATCGGGCAGCAAACTAACGAAATTGACACGAATCAATCGGGCAGCACACTATCGACATTGACAAGAACCAATCGGATATCAAACTATCGGCATTAACACGGAACAAACGGACATCATACTAACAAAAAATGCAATGCTCAAAAATAAGAAAGAAAGAACGCATTGTTAAAAGAAAAATGTCCGTTAGTGCAACTAAATCTCGCAATCTCCTGCAAGGTTTTGATTTTTTTTTTCGTCCGAGAGGAATTGTACAGCCCTCAGCGATGAATTAGCTGGTAGTAGATCTAAATTTTCTAATGTTGTAAGGAACGAAAACAATTATTTTCTTTTAATTTTAAACTTGATTGGGTTTTTGCTGGAGCAGTCTACACTCAATCTTCTTTAGAACTGATCATCTCAAGGCTTCGCCCCGAATAAATACAAAAATCATTTATATTGAACATTAATATTCAGAAATTCTGTTCCAGTTATTGCGTAAACACTGATCAATCAAATGAGCTGCAGTGATTCATGGAACTTCATCCCAGCTAACGTAATTTCAAAGGCTTTGAAATGTCAACCAATGACCTTGCCCAATTGGCAAACCAAGTTAGAAAGATATTGTGCCACACAAATGTTAGCATAGAGCAATGGAGTACCTCACTCCTATCACGCCTGAGATATATTATGCCACACAAATGTTGACTGAGTGGCTAACACTAATAAACTCAAATGTATTAATTAGTTGAATATCTTACTCTTGTCGTCGCCTGAGATGAAGCACTGCGACACCACGGAGAAGAAGGCAAAAGAGCGGCAGGTGAATGCGCTGTAGTCGCTGCACTGTCGCTCACACGCCGCTTCCGACCCCACGTTGGAGATCAGAGCGTCCCGGTAGCGCGGATACGCGTTGGGCGTCTCGACGTAGGGGCACGCTTGCTCTTCTGCCGCATCCAACGGGTTCATATTAATTAGCATCAACATTCATTATTAATGAACAATCGATGCACTCGTTGCTTCACTCCAATCGTTGGCTTGCACCACTCACACCAGGCACCCCATTGCCACGGCTTACACCACTACCATCCAGGCACCCCGTTGGCTCGCACCACTAGCCCCAAGCACTCTATTGGCTCACACCACTCACTCCAGGCTCCAAAACTCCAGTGAAAATATCAATGGGGCACACTTGTTCTCCGAGTAGTGCGAGTACTCTATGGTTCGCATCACCCACCTCGGGCAGACTGGTTCTCCAAGTACTCTATGGTTCACAGCACTCACCTCGAGCACATTGGTTCTCCAGGTACTCCATAGAAGGCGAGGGGGAGGCGGAGAAGTCGCGGGGAGAGCTGCGTCGATCGCTGCGGCTGAGGCGGCACTCGAGCGTCGCCGTGTCGTACTCAGCGGAGCGGCAGTTGAACGAGCGCTCCATGAGACACGCCTGCGACCAGACACTAGAGCGTGATGGCTGCGTACTGAATGTGTTGTGTACGTAAGTTGATAACTAGTTATGTTAGAACCTGACACTAGAGCGTGATGGCTGCGTAGTGATTGTGTTGTGTACGTAAGTTGATAACTAGTTATGTTAGAAACTGACTCTAGAGCTCGATGGCTGCGCATTTAATGTGTGAGTAATGCACCCGAGTCAACAATAGTCAACAATACACCAGAGTCAACAATACTGAACCAAACAAAGCTAACGTTTTAAGCTTAAACCTACCCTCAGATAATCTGGTAAACCCTGGAGTAAAGCAATACTCATGAAGATGGTTGCTGTGTCGTCAATTTGCAGTAAATGGTTTATACTTTATAGGCAGTCACTAATGGAGGGCTGATCGCATTCACCCATTCGATGGAGCAGACGCGGTTTCAGTCAGATACTCAGAAACAGAGCACTATAAATCTCTACTTATTACTTGAGAACGATGCATCATTGTACAAGTGTGAACTTAACCAATCCTTTTGTCATCGACGGAAAATCGAGCAATTATTATCATTCAATTCGAAAAATTTTGGGACTGCATTCCATGACATCAAATTGCGCAGGTAAATTGGCATTAAAGTAAGTAAGTAAGTTTCTCAATTTCTTAAATTAAGAGTTATTGACTAACTTTGTTATGATGGTTGCTAACATCGGCAAACATTAGTAATTTCTCGTGTACCCCACAAGGGAGGCGAAAACGCTGTTTGACCCAGATTATGACTTATAATACTTTGTACTGTATCACCATAAGTGAGTCACCTCGACGCAGTAGCCCCGACAACGGTACTTGACCCAGATTATGACTGCATCACCAAAAGTGAGTCACGTCAATGCATTAGTCCCGACAACGGTGCTTGACCCAGATTATTAATTGCATCATCACAAGTGAGTCACGTCAATGCATTAGTCCCGACAACGGTGCTTGACCCAGATTATGACTGCATCACCAAAAGTGAGTCACGTCGATGCATTAGCCCCGACAACCGTACTTGACTCAGATTATGAATTGCACCACCCTAAGTGAGTCACCTCGATGCAGTCGCGCCGCGCTTCCACGCGCGGGATGACGCGGTCGTTGTTGCCGCGCAGCTCCCGGCCGATGACGCGCTCGAACTGCCAGGCGCGTCGCTTGCAGCTCGTAGGTAGGCTCACTGCGGTAGACAAGATTATTTCTCAAGAAGTTTTACAGAAATATTAAGTATTTTTGAAACATTTTCTTGTTTTTAGAGTAATGTTTCATGAAAGACGCCTCGTCATATCACCTCTGACACAGGACTTCTCGAAGTAATTTTTGTTATCCTGGTTGATGAGAGCGTTGACGCGCCCCTGCGAGTTGCGGTCCAGCTTGGAGCATCGCATGCTCGAGTAGTCCACGGAGAATGCCGGGCACTCCGAACCATCCATGAGACATGCCTCGGCGCAGTTCTGCCGGCCAGGCAATACGTTAATATCAGGTGATATTCTTCACATTTATGCACGCAATCATTGGCAGGCGAAAATATTCTAATGAATAGACATCATGCAAAGTGAATAATGGGTCATCAAGCGGGTCATCAAGAGGTTCATCAAGCGGGTCATCAAGAAGGTCATCAATCGGGTCATCAAGCGGGTCACCAAGCGGGTCATAAAGCAGGTCATCAAGAGGTCCTTCAAGCGGGTCATCAATCGGGTCATCAAGCGGGTCATCAAGAGGTCCATCGAGCGGGTCATCAAGAAGGTCATCAAGCGGGTCATCAAGAGGTCCACCAAGCGGGTCATTAAAAGGGGTCCTATCGTACAGGAGATGAACGATCTCCTTGTTCTGCGTCTGATGGGTCGAATGTTTATTGAGTAGAAACTGGCAGCGCATCTAAATACCATTTATGCTATACTGCAAAGTACCATTCGAATAAACCAAAATCCGAGAACGATGAAGGCGAGAAGAGAGACAGAAGCGATGAAGAGCGTGGCAATAACTATGAACATGATAATGGTATTCGACATAACAATCAAGATGTAGGCTTGAAACAAGGCTGGAATTGGCCTGACGCACCTCGGTGATGGCCCTTGCGGCGTCCTGCAGCGCGTACTGCGTCTCGCGTGCGCCACTCAGCACGATGGAGGTGGACTTCTCGTAGATGATGGTGCCGCCCTCACGCTCGCACTGGCCTGATGGTGAACACATCATTATTGTACGGTCAGAGGAGTATCAGAGTGGTATAATTCCTAGACTGATATTAGATGATAGTGCCGCCCTCGCAGTTGCACGAAACTACCGATTCCTAACGGGCTGCGCTCCGCTTTAAATTCTTATATTGGAGTCTTCATATAGAGGCTGCAGGGAACGCGGGGCGAGGAATGCATGAAAAACGTGCGATAACTAAAAAGTAATCAATAATACGTAAAATATATTATGCTAACAAATTTAGCCTAGAGTGCGAAAAACTATTTCGATAATATATTATTCCATATATCTGGGGCGCTGCTGCTTCAAATTCGTAAGATAGAATTGCCTTAAATTGATTTAAAATTTATGGAATATTTTTAATTGCATTGTGTTAGATTAATTACTACCTACTCAACCACATGCTCTAACCTTAAATTAATTTTAAATGTATATTATACTTTTAATTATATTATGATAGATTGATCACTCTCTGTAGTCTAGAACTCAATACACTAGACCCTGGAGCGCCCATCACTCACTGACGGTACACATCTTCTCCCCAGTGATGAGTCCTGGCATGGCCGTGTAGCGCGTGTTGTTCAGAGATATGGAGTCGTCGCCGGACAAGTAGCATCTGTCCACAAACAGCCAAATATTCCGAACAATCATATTCCAAATTACAAGCAAGTCACATTTTTTTTGCTTAAAAATCGTGCTTTGATATGAATTTTCAAGATAAATGTTCATTTGTATTCTTCATAACGTCGTCATTGAAAAACATGTTCATCGACTGAAGTGACATTTCCCGGCGATTCTCAGGGCCACGGGGAATAATTAGCGAGTCAGGCTTTCATCAGATGCCATCGCTGCATGATAATAAAGTATAATACGAAATTTTCGGATAAAAATACTTTCCCAGAATGAAACGGAAAATTATGTCCATAAAAACTGTGTGTAGGCCAGAGAGAATTGTATTTGATTATTTCTGAGGCGGAAGAAATTTGTTTATAAAACTGAATTTTATAAATTCTTAACATAAGAAAGTAATAACACACCTGTTGGTGGCGGCAGCAAAGCTGTAGGACCTGCAATAGAAGGAGCGGGACTTGTCGCAGGAATCTTCGCAGGACGCGCGAGAGTCCGCGAACTCGAGGAGATCCGTGGTGACGACCATCACGTCGTTCATCACCTCGTAGCGGCAATCGGGCAGAGCTGAAACATCATATACCGTATAAATGTATAACATGAGCTGTAAGATGGTATGCTTTATATATGATCTAAACTACACGATACTATGGCTTAATGACGTATGACTTTCTTACCTCTGACACACTAACAAGACGGTCTCACCTCAGACCCAGTAATAAAATGTCTCACCGCTGACAAACTAAAAAGATGTTTCACCTCAGACCCACATTGTGTACCTAAGATTAGGCTCGGTGGAGTAAAAAGTCACAGTGGATAAACAGTACAGTTATAGCTCAGCTAAAGACCAAGAACGAAACCTACAAGCGTTATTTACGAACTACCAGCAATGCTGATTATAAACTGTATGCAAGAGCTCGAAATAAAGCCAAAGAAATCTATCGGAACGCAGTGAACAACTTTGAAAAGAATATTGCCAAAAACGCAAAAAAGAACACGAAAGACTTCTTTTTGTACGCCAGTTTGAAGTGTAAGACAAACGATGGTATTTCTGATTTGAAAGTAGAGCAGCGAAAGATATCCTATGATGAGGGCAAGCTAACGTTTTTAATCGGTTCTTTAGCAGCGTGTTCACAGATGAGAACCTGAACAGTATTCCAGCTATTGAGGAGCACCAGTAAGCTCGAAGTTAATAGGTTTTGAAATACACGAAGAAGAGGTTCTCAAGCGCCTGGTCGTAACGTATCCCAACAAATAATGTGGACCAGACGGGTTTCACCCTAGATTTCTCAAAATATTAGCAACCATCTTGGCCGGCCCTTTGACAGTGTTCTTCCAAAAAACACTGAACGAAGGGACTTTGTCGGCCAATTGGAAAAAAGCTCAAGTGACACCTCTGTTCAAAAAAGTTACAGAAGTAGCCCCGGTCACTATCGCCCTATCAAGCTGACTAGTGTTCTTTGTAAGGTAATGGAATCTGTTGTGAGGGATATGACCTAGATCCCGACTCCTTCCGCGTCTCAATTGCTCTTCGAGTTGGCGCAAATGTATGCGAACCCCACACTTGTCGGTGCGGAAAGCGGATGGATGCACGAGGACTGCATGGCCTTTCTTGTAAGTACAGCGCTGGGCGACATCCAAGACACTCGGCTCTGAACTATGTGATCAGGAGGGCTCTTCAGAGCGCTGGCGTTCCTTCATGCCTTGAACCCGTAGTCGGTGTAGGCCACCATCAGAGGCGTTAAGGTCGGGGCCCTGATCATTGACATGAAACCATTCCCTGTTTTTAATTAATAAAATTAATTCCTTTCTGCTGGAATGGTGAGTGTGAGAGGCCTTTTAAAAAAAATGTGAGGGATAGGATTGTCGATCACTTGACTGTCAACCATCTACTATCAGACTGTCAACATGGTTTTACTGCAGGTAGGTCCTGCACCATAATCTCTTGTTTAATTTGAACGATTGGACTTGCCTGCTGATGAGTCCAATTGTACTTTGTAACTTGCATTTTTCGTGACCACAAGTCACGAAAAATACAAGAATCGGCGACCAGCCACGTCAGGTCTATTCTTCAGCGCCGACATCACCATGATATGATCTAATACGAGCTCGCCTCGGACCCACTTATAAGAGATCTCACCTCTGACATACTAATGAGACTGACTAACCTTTGCCCCACTTATATGACTTACCTCTGACCCACTAATGCGACTCACCTCTGATCCACTAGTACGACTCACCTCTGACCCACTAGTACGACTCACCTCTGACCCACTAATACAATTCACCTCTGACCCACTAATACGACTCACCTCTGACCCACTAGTACGACTCATCTCTGACCCACTAATACGACTCACCTCTGNCTGTCTCTTATACACATCTAGATGTGTATAAGAGACAGCCTCTGACCCACTTATACGACTCACCTCTGACCCACTTATACGACTCACCTCTGACCCACTAATGCGACTCACCTCTGACCCACTTATACGACTCACCTCTGACCCACTAATACGACTCACCTCTGACCCACTAATGCGACTCACCTCTGACCCACTAATACGACTCACCTCTGACGCACTGGTTCTCTAAGTAGTCCACGCCAGAGGCCGGTGAGTACCGGAATGCGTCAGGCTGCGTGCGGCGATCGTCTTGACTGAGACGACACACTCGCCGCGCGGTGTCATACTCCGCTGACCTGCGACAAAAAGGTTTTACTGGCGGCTCAATATTATAATATATAATAACTTCAATCTAACAATATTAATATAATAATAAAAAATAATAATATAATAATAGTACACTGCATCAATTGATCAAAGTGTTCAGACCGGGAAGGAAACTCGTCTTGCGACAAACACGAGCGTCGTAATCAACTCACTCACTTTTACTGTGGGCAACGAAAGTTCTATATGTGTTATAGGAATAAAAATAATCTTTACAGAGTTCAGCTCAGCTAGCGGCAGAAGAGGCATAAGAAAATCTGCACAAAAACCACGCTTACCGACACGTGAAGTCCTGCTCAGTGAGGCAGAGTTCGATACAAGCGTTGCGGGAGTCGACGCTCGGGATGGTCTTGTTGTCGTAGCCGTCCAGGACCGAGTCCGGCACTCGCTCGAACGCCCACAGGCGGTCCGACCCGCACAGCGCTTCGTAGTTGACTGCATCACAATTAGAACAAAAGTTGAAAAAATACGCAAGTACAAATATGGAAACTAAAGTAACACGTACAAGCTTCTATCCATTAACATCAAGAGCACTCAAATGAGTATTTTAAGCATTCCAAAGCATACTAGTACAGATGCTCCTAGAGTTCATCTAGTAGTCTCATGCAATCAGGTAATTAGGGAATAGTTGTTGGTTTCAATAAATTAATTTAGATTTATTCTCATGACGATACGTCGTGCAGAATTTCTAGATATTAATTATTAGTAAACCTGCAAGTTTGGAAAACCTACTCATTAAATTCCAACTCATTCATACAGAACTCTTTAGTATTTGGGAAACACTCGGTTCACAGGTTCCTTCTGACGTTTTCAGCTGGACCTGATATTGTGTACAATCGGCAGTTTTATTGTTCTTTTGACTAATAAAGTTAGGTGTTGTTAGTCTCGATTAGAGTTATTTAAAGTGTACTATTTTGTTGAGACGTCGGTAGATTGTTAACGTGGTCATAACAGCTGTGTGTTGCTGCTAGCTGTTACAGTGGACATATGGGCCCAATCATGATCTGCAGATACATTAGCCGTCTTTTATGTTCATCACGGTTCGAAAACTTACCGTCTGTAGACAAAAACATAATAGTGGACAGGAATGCAGACTGAAAGTAACTTACCACCGCGCAAACAGATTTTCTCGAAGTAGTTGTAGGCCTGGCGAGGGAGCAGAGAGTTGCGTCGCCCCACTGACGTCCGGTCGAACGACACGCATGCGTCCTGCTGGTACGCTGTCAGGACCACGCAATTATTACGTGACATCAACAGGATCATTCGGGAGAGTGAAAAGAAAAAAGTGGCTATGGAAAACTAGATGCCGGGATTAATAAACAAACTAACCTGGAAAGAAACAACCAGTTCAGGAGACTGCAGCCATCGTATCACCTCCTATTACGTGACATCAACAGGATCATTCGGGAGGGTGAAAAATAATAAATGCCTATAGCAAACTAGATGCCGGGAGACCAAATATTGTGTTTTTTTTATGGAGGATGTATTCGTTATACCAAGGAGGATTCAACTAATTTTGTAAGGATCGATTTGGCTTTATAGTCGCACATATGGGAAGGCAACCAAGAATAGTTTGATGGTGGGATGTGTGCGAGAAAAACGGCTCCTCTTAACTTAATTGCTGGTTACATCCTGTGATGGCGTTGATTCTCAATAATTTTCATTAAAATAACAATACGAGTGTAAGATCCTACTCTGGGGCCTTCCTTGCACACAAAATACTTATATCATCACAAATAAAAAGAATAACCTCTTAAGAAGAGGCCTTCATATTTTCAAGGCAGATATATTGAAAACTGCCACAAATTCAACAGCAAGTAATGGGCTTTGATTACACTTTTTGAGTCAAGAATCTAGAGTGTCATTAAAAGCCGTTCAATGCAAACCATGACATTAAAAGGGACGGCGTACAAATGTCCCGTGTTTCCTATGGACAAAATCAGCGCGGTTACAATGCACAGCATCCACGCCTCTTCAAGGCCAGAAAGTGACGAGTAGCAGAGCAAAATTTGCAATAGGAAATTATCTGCAATGGTGACAGCAAGTTACTCACAACCAATTACCGCATGGTAAAAACCTCTGTCAATCACAATCTTCTTTCGCATATAAGTCAGATAATTGACGAAGCATAAAAACATGTCGGTTTTCATATTGGTATTTTCAGAAGCTGTATTTAGTTAAGTATATTAGTGTTGGTACTGAAGAATAGGCTAAGTTTCGACCAATACTTCAGGAACTTAATTCATAAATAGAGTGCGTAAGAATTAAGTCTGAAACATTAGAAGTATTCCCGCGAAAAATAGAAGAGGAACTGCGTTAAAACGACGATGAACCTCACGCAAGATCTCGTCACGCAACGAGCAATATTTATAGCGTCAGCTTATGAAGTTATTCAATACATCGCCGTATATATTATCTCTGATGACGGCTGGTGCGAACGCTCGTCTATGAGAAACCTGAGGTTGACGATTAATAAGAGACATGCGCTATTATCCGGCAAAAAACATGCATGATCATACATTGAACAAGAAGAATTTACTAACGAATCAACAGGATGAATCAACTTACGAATGTCTAATACAATTACGACCCTAAAATTAAACTAAATATAACAGCTTATTAGGAATATAAACAGTTGAATAAATCGACAGGCCTGACACTGACCGACTTGAAAGGACTGGCAGGAGGCGCTGTTTGTGCACAGGTCCTTGCAGGGGCCCGTGATGGAGGACTCAGGCTGCTGCAGTAGAGGCTGCGACGTCTCGGAGAACTCGTAGCTCGTGGTCTTCTCGAAGGCGACTGTGCCGCCGAAACATTGCTGACCTGTGAGGGTCTTTATCATTACAGGGTCTTTATCTTTACAGGGTGAGGGTCTTTATTTTTACAGGGTCTTTATCTCTAAAGGGTGGAGGTCTTTATCTCTACAGGGGTGAGGGTCTTTATCTTTACAGGGGTGAAGGTCTTTATCTTTACAGGGGTGAGGTCTTTATCTCTAAAGGGTGGAAGTCTTTATCTCTACAGGGGTGAGGGTCTTTATTTTTACAGGGGTGAGGGTCTTTATCTTTGCTGGGGTGAGGGTCTTTATTTTTACAGGGGTGAGGGTCTTTATCTTTACTGGGGTGAGGGTCTTTATCTTTGCTGGGGTGAGGATCTTTATCTTTACAGGGGTGAGGGTGTTTATCTCTACTGGGGTGAGGGTCTTTATCTTTGCTGGGGTGAGGATCTTTATCTTTACAGGGGTGAGGGTGTTTATCTCTACAGGGGTGAGGGTCTTAATCTTTAAAGGGGTATTTATATTGGGTATGGCAAGAATAATGAACTGAAAATGTTGCTGCTGTCTTATGAGAGGTTTTTCTTTTTCCTTTTGAATACCAGCCCAAACATCAGAGCAGAACTTGATAGAAGTATGATAAACTGCGTTCTAATGTAGACTCAGCGTGCGTGGGCTTAAGTATGAAATGATACTAAATGTTGACAATGAGAGAAAAATTTTCCCATCAGACTGCCTTTCGCAGCAAGCCGCTAACATGAAACGCATTTGAAATTAATCTACAAACTTCACGACAGAATTGCCACTGAAATGCTGACATTTCTGTGGCACCGTCAACTATGCATCGTGCCTTCATGACAACAACGCAAATCTCTAGGCAGTCTTCCATTTCGATAACGCAGCTGCATTGAACTACCATCTGTTCTTATCGTTCATTCGTATATTGCTGCGCCAGTCTTACCCATTACATTAACGCAGCTGCTTTAAACTACCATCTCTTCTTTTCGTTCATTCGTATATTGCTGCGCCAGTCTTACCCATTACATTAACGCAAGTGCTTTGAACTACCATCTGTTCTTATCGTTCATTCGTATATTGCTGCGCCAGTCTTACCCATTACATTAACGCAAATGCTTTGAACTACCATCTCTTCTTATCGCTCATTCGTTTATTGCTGCGCCAGTCTTACCGTACGCTCGAGGAAGCACTGTCAGAAGCCACAGCCACGAGACGATTGTAGCTCCCCGCACCTGAAACAAAGAATATTTATTATATATTATGTATTGCAGTTCATATTAAAAAATAACACATCACGCATGCATGTTTGAACCGATTAATAAATTAAATATCATGACAAATTCCCATAACAACTAACAAATTCACAATTACTTGGTCACAGCCCTCTAAATTAAGGTCTAGAATGGTACAGGGTAAACCAGAATTAACTGACCCTTTTAATTTGTTAATAAATAAAAAACTAAGAACGTTATGAAGTTGAAACTTCTTTTATTTAAAAGAAGAACATTTTTATGGTAATATTGTATCCTAGTTTTTAGGATACAATAACTAACTAGGATACAATATTACATACAATATTTTAACTAATACATATTATTAATACATAATAAATATTTTAACTAATACAATAATAAAATATTGTAATAGGATACAATATTTTAACTAGGATACAATATTACCATAAAAATGTTCTTTTTTAAATAAAACAAGTTTCAACTTCATGACGTTGTTAGTTTTTTATTTATTAACAAATTAAAAGGGTCAGTTAATTCTGGTTCACCCTGTATTTAATAATTCCATGTTCGTTCGTCAGTAAAGAGAATATACCTGCAAGTGAAATAATCCACCCGCCCCAAGTGACATGTAAATAGAAGGATGCTCTGCTATGTGCCACCTTCTCGTCCGTATCAAGGCTACCGAGACCGCGGAATTCCAGCCTGGCCTGAATTACCGGCGCTCGTCCGTGAACACGCATCCGCATCGGCGGCGGCAGGCGTCGCCGCGGGGCCGGTGTCGTGTTTTGCAACGCCTCTGGCCGAGAACATAGAATACAATAGAAGTGTCGGCGTTGAAGAAATAGGCCCATGGCCTGTTGCCGATTCTTGAACTTTTCGTGACTTGATTCACAAGGGATCCGGCCTTTGGAACCCGATCTTTCTATAGCTGACGATTGATTGAGATAGCTGCTGGACTTATTGCCTGGTCCGAGAACAAGTCACGCTGACATCCATTTCTTTGCCGAGAACGTGTCACGCTGACATTCATTTCTTAGCCGAGAACGTGTCACGCTGACATTCATTTCTTAGCAGAGAACGTGTCACGCTGACATTCATTTCTTAGCCGAGAACGTGTCACGCTGACATTCATTTCTTAGCAGAGAACGTGTCACGCTGACATTCATTTCTTAGCAGAGAACGTGTCACGCTGACATTCATCTCTTCAAGACCATCAACTTCTCGCGACCTGAAGCGCAGCCATGACGGCTGATGCAACTCGCTTTGCAGGCCGCCGCGGAAAATAGCTAGCGGCGTGAACTCTATTGACGAAGCTTCTATATTCTTCGATTGTAATACGGATAGAACTTACATTGCTTCACTTATGCATGCAAGTGCGCGGCGTGCAAAAGGAAAGAAAATGAGAGACAGTATCAAATTATTGGACATAAATGACATAAATTCTACTCTGAGGGCTTTTTGGGCCGGGTGAATTTAAATCTTGTAAATTGAAGCTTTACCTACTTTATCACAATATATTTAAAATAAAAATATCATTATAGATTTAAAATATCACAATATTGGGATCGCGCTTTAAGTGCCCCATAAATTCGTCAACTGAGTAAAACAGATATAATAGATTACAAATATAAACACGATACACGCGCGCTACACCACCAACGCGATGGCCAAGAGGAAGGACGGAGTTGCAGGAGCAACACGTGCTTGCCTGCGCAGTACAACCAACGCGATGGTCAAGAGGAAGGCGGGAGTTGCAGGAGCAACACGTGCTCGCCTGCGCGGTACAACCAACGCGATGGCCAAGAGGAAGGCGGGAGTTGCAGGAGCAACACGTGCTTGCCTGCGCAGTACAACCAACGCGATGGTCAAGAGGAAGGCGGGAGTTGCAGGATCAACACGTGCTTGCCTGCGCAGTACAACCAACGCGATGGTCAAGAGGAAGGCAAGCTTATGACACACGTCGGCGTTGCTGACCTTGGCCGCTACTGAGCCGCTTCCGATGCGGTCGCGCGTCCGCTCTTGTGTTCATTACGAAATATGTACAAAAAGTCACCACCTCCCCGTCATCTGCATCCCACCGCCACCTTCTTGCCGCCACCAGCATCTTGCCGTCACTTTCTTGCCGCCAACGTAACTTCGGCGCGCCTATTGCAATGCGATGGCCAAGAGGAAGGAATATTTATTTGAAGGGAAGGATGGCCAAGAGGAAGGAATATTTATTTGAAGGAAGGATGGCCAAGAGGAAGGAATATTTATTTGAAGGGAAGGATGGCCAAGAGGAAGGCACTGGAATATTTTTATGGTAGTGACATTACGAAAGACGCAAGCAACAAGTTTACTTTAATCAGTAGCGTTCAAAATTTGTATTCGGTACAATTGTATTCAAGTTTATTGAGCCGACCTCGGGTAACTTTCATATATCACGCCGTCAATGATGCGTTAATTCAGTTTAATTAAAAACTCTTCGGGTCTCGGACTTGAGAGAAGTCTATGTAAATTGTCATCAGATATTTGTGAAATATTTTGAAAGATATGGGGAATTTTTGAATCGCTGAATCAGCAACTGACCGCTCTGCTGTGGTTGATAGGCCTTAGGTGCAACGTAGCGAACACGCTCTGTCTGACTGACTGGGAGGCTATACATATATATGTCTCGAGGATTAGGATATGGCTAGGCCGGGAGGCTGTAGCTCCATGCTAAGCTGGGAGGCTATACATGTCTCGAGGATTAGGTTATGGCTAGGCCGGGAGGCTGTATCTCCATGCTAAGCTGGGAGGCTATACATGTCTCGAGGACTATTCTATGGCTATGGGCTGGGGGGCTGTATCTCGATCGCTAAGCTGGGAGGCTATGTCTCGAGGACTAGGCTATGGTTAAGCCGGGGGACTGCATGCATGTCGATGGCTAAGCTGGAGGCCTTGTCTCGAGAAACAGGCTATGGCTAGGCCGGGGTGGAAGGGGCTGTATCTCGATGGCTAAGCAGGGAGGCCATGTCTCGAGGACTCGAACACCGACCGAATATAGTGTGAAAAAAGTACCAATTCTAACTTTTCCGAGAAATTCACTGTCTGAGAAAACACAGCCGTAATATTTACAATGTTGTAACTACATGAATAATAATAGTGAGAGACAAGAATAGTGCTGGAACGTGCAACACAATTACAGTTGAGCATAGCGGCTTCTTGCATCTGCAACTGAATACGTCGCCTGCTAATGTATGAATTTTGAATAAAATATCACCATAGATTTAAAATTTTCAATCGCCCAGGTATGGCTGGTGAGTGAGACTTGAGCGCCTTAAGTTGCCAAAGATTGGTACGTGGCCACCGCTATGGCACTCAGTCACACTATAAGTAGAGCTGAAAACTCGATAGCATTATATAATCAAAAGCATTAAATTTTAAATTAAAAATCTCTCTTATTATTCGCAATCTTATGGAGAATATTAGTGGGATTATAATATACGCTTATAAACGACGCCTAATCTCTTAATATATATGTAATGAATGCATCAGAAGAATCGTGAGGCGATAATAAGTTAGACTAAATTAAAATCTGAATAATACATATTGTTTATTTGAGTTACAGGCCCCATGCATCTATGATAAATATTTAACTATTCCACCTCAATTTGTACTTGCCGCTCATACAACGACAGGTACGAACAATAGAGCTAACCCCTAACTACTTTTTAGATTCCAGGAAGAGCTTTATACGCGCGACACCGCAACAACTTCTATAACGCGATAAATCCTAACGTCCCTGACTGTAACGCAGTGCGTTATTTGCCTGGCCTTAATGCCTTATAGTACTCACATGTCGAAAAAATTATCACGACGTCAACTGAAAATTAGGACTATTAATTACGCGCTGTAGTTGAAGTGATTTCTTGAATTGATGATTCATGTGCACTTTATGATGTTGTTTACATGCGCCACTGGCTTCTTGAGTGCCTCGAGCAGCAGTTGCAAGGCAAGGAGACCTTCACTCAGAGCTCAATAAACTTACCAATGTGCATTTGAGACAACACGCGTCGTGGGAGCGCACATGGGTTCCTCATTGCTCGAGTAATCGTAAGTTATAACAGTACTTGTGTTCCCCATTGCTCGAGTTATCATAAGTTATAACATTACTTGTGTTCCTCATTGCTGGGAGAATCATAAATTATAACAGTACTTGTGTTCCTCATTGCTGGGAGAATCATAAATTATAACAGCACTTGTGTTCCTCATTGCTCGAGTAATCGTAAGTAATAACATTACTTGTGTTCCTCATTGTTCGAGTAATCGTATTGATATGCTACGGGGAGAGAATCGTATTGATATGCTACGGGAGAGCATAACAGAAGCGTTCGAACGAGTCGTCGAGGCGGTCTGCATGGTAATCGTACGCGACGGCAGCCTTGACTACAGGATGCGTGCCCACCCATCCAAACAACGCGCGTTTGACGCTACAAATATAACAAATATCGAGGACAAATAATGCGTCTCAGGAAGTGGCGCAATAACACACCATTAGGATGCATTTGCACACGGTGCAGCTCAACGCGAAAATACAAGCGTTCACCATACAACAGTGACAACTCCTAACGTGATACGCATGCGTTCACCATACCACATTGACAACTCTAACGTGACACGCATGCGTTCATTGCACCACACTGACAACTCTAATGTGATATCTTCAGATTGGAACAGGTGCAGTGGCTCGTAGATACTTAATTTCCTCTGCTGTTAATACCAGCATGCAGAGGAAACTGGAATTCGTATGCGTAATGTTATCTTAAACTAATTTATAAGTGGTTCTTGAAGCTGATGCGATGCAGCCTTTACCCTCTATCCCATTAATATCAATCATTGTTCGAGTTGTTCACAAATTAAATCTTACTTCAAGATTCATCTTGTATTTCATACAATCTAGCAATTTATAGTAAATTAGCAACAGTATAGTATTATTGCATCAACAGTAATGATGAATAATAACAATTAAAAATTTC